CCTCAGGGCATCTATGCCTCTATCCATCCATCCATCCATTTCCAGACTTGCGCTCTCAGCTGCAGCTGCAAAATAAATGCTTTTCTCGTAAACAGAACAGAGACCACAAGCTCCCCTCTCTCCTCCTAAAGCGAGGCAAAAAGAAACAGAATAGGATATGCATATGTTGATGGAAATATCGGCAAAACAACACGTCTGTTGTGAAGTAATTCAGAAAAAGCTAAGTCAGGAGGATGGAAGATGTGGAACAAGACAGGAAGCAGACGCTTATGAATGGCAGCTTCATTATTTGATATTTACTAAATTAAAGTATAAATAAAATCAAACTTATTATTATTATTATTATTATTATTATTAGTAGTAGTAATAGTAGTAGTAATATAGTAATTATTATTATTATAATATATCATAATATAATATGATATACTATATTAAGTTTAATAATAATAATGACAACAACAACAAACAACAACAATAATAAAATATTAATATTAATAATAATAATAAAAATAAATAATAATAATAATAATAATAATAATAATAATAATAATAGTAATAATAATAATAAAATACTACTACTACTACTACTACTACTACTACTAATAATAATAATAATCATTTTTATTATTATTGTTGTGGTTATTATCATTATTATTAATATTATTATTATTATTAATGTTGTTGTTGATGTTGTTAATAATATTATTATTATCATTATTTTATTTTTACTATTATTGTTGTTGTTATTTACTATAATATAATGTACTATACAATAATTTGCTATATTATATTACTATTATCATTAAAACAAATAATAATAATAATAACCTCAACATCAACAAAAACATTATTATTATTATTATTATTATTATTATTGTTGTTGTTGTTGTTGTTATTAATATTATTATGATGATGATGATGATTATTATTATTATTATTATTATTATTATTATTATTATTATTATTGTTGTTGTTGTTGTTGTTATTAATATTATTATGATGATGATGATGATTATTATTATTATTATTATTATTATTCTTAATCATCTAAGTGCTGATATTGATAAACTGTTACTAATAATTAATATGATCAAAACAAGTTATACAGAAACACACAAAATTCACAGAAACTCTTATTTACTCGCCAAAGTCAGTTTTCTCTTACATTTGGCTCTTGGCAAGTGTTAATGTGAGATCCTGTGTGAAGGTTAAAACACAAGTACAAATACTTCCGCTCCTCTCTAATATCCTCTTCCTCTCTTCCTCACCCTTTTCAAGCGTCTGAAAAGGTCAGATGTCATGAATGCAAATGCCATGCACCAGGGGCTGCTAACAGAGAGAGGTAGTTTGGAAGCGTGTGTTTGTGCGTGTGTTTGAGTGTGTGTGTGTGTGTGTGTGTGTGCGTGTGCGTGTGTGTATCTGGCCAGCCTCCAGAACACAGATAGAAATGGAGGAAAAAGCTCCTGCAATACAATCTCCTACTCTCTGTTTCCCTGCAGTAACACACAGGTCAGCTCAATGGAGTGACCTGGCCATGTGTGTGTGTGTGTGTGTGTGTGTGTGTGTGTGTGTGTGTGCTTTAAAGACATTTGTTGTAGTATCTTTCTTCATGCTAAGTCCACTTGTAAAATCTGTCAACATTACTTGAAACAAAAACAGCGGTAAATGATGGTCTCTCTCGCTGACCCTGAGAAAAGCCAGTCTGCATATAAATGGTCTGACGCCTTCTGCATGTGCAGGCATTGCTTACAATCTGATTTATTAGCACAGTTAAATGCTAAATACTGAACACACATTAATAGAACAGTTCAAAAGTTTAGCTATCTTTTTTTTTTTTTGAGCATACCTTATATACTCGACAAAACTGCACTTATTTACAAAATGAAGTAAATATGATGTAATATTTTGAAATACAAAAAAAGTAACAACAAAATGAATACATATACTAAGGGCTGGGCGATATAGCAAAAAAATGATCATAACAGTTTTTTTCATATCAGTCGATATCGATAATTATCACGATACATGTGAAATTTTTATATTTCTCAATTTTAAAGGGCCAGGACACCCCCCAATTTCAGTTAAAGTCTACTTCAGAATTTTTTCAAAAGATGCATGATTAATGGGCGTGGAGCTCCGCGAGCATCGGGCAGGAGTGGGCGTAGCCAGCAGGGGAGAACGTGAGCGAACGAAGCTAGCTCACAAAATGAGACAAACCGTGAGAACGCATGAGTTTATAGTTTACAAAGTTAAAATGCAAAGAAATGAACAGTGATTTAATGCCCTGCTACATTTGTTATTCATAATTTCATATACAGATAACCACAATTTATATCATTATAAAGATAAGTGTGTTCATGTAAACACTATAAATGAGGACTTCTCCCTCAATCCCAGTATCCAGCAGACTCAGTGCAGCAGGTCTCCTGACCTGTCTGTTTTAACTATTAGCCCTGCTGGTAATCTGGAGAATTTAGGCAAACACAGCAGCACTGTGATGTGTCTGAATGTGAACGAACTCCTGATAAAAGACAGCGTCCACCATTCTCTAATTCTCGTGCTGCTCTCCCGACAAAAATGCTAGCAGCACGCACACAGCTTTGCTGTATGATCGGCCCTAACAGGATCGCGGGGAAAAAACATGCAACAAACCCTGTGGATCATGGAAACAAACACATACAAGCCTTCATGAACGGCTAAATACTGTGTGTCGTGGGTCCGTCCATGTCTCACAGCTTGGGCTTGACACTATCATGTCTGGCAGGCCTCATGAATAATTAAGCAGCCGGCTCTTCTCATAGGATAAGAAAACTCTGCTATGAATAATAATGAGAAACCGACGCGTCATCATTGCACTTGCAGTACTGCGCTACGTCGCCGATTTTGATCCCGCCCCAAAAATCATTTTAAACCCGGAAGCTGAAATTAGCTAACAAAAGCTCAAAATTATCCAGTTTTCCCCACAATTAAAGCTGACAGGTGCTAACATCGTCTTAACTGATGCTCAACACACACAAATCTGTTAATATAAAAAAAAAGTTCTCCAGGGTGTCCTGAACCTTTAAAGGCTTTTTACCTTGTCAAATCCTTTGTGAAGCTGATTTAACACATTTTGTGAAATGTTTTAGCTGTCTGACAATATAAATAAAAAATAATAAACAAATGAACAATCTGAATTCAGCATTTACAGTTTCAACAACAAAAAACATTCCCAAACAAGTTATTGTATATTATTAATCAGGGTATCTTCCTTCTATTCCATATGCATTTTCAAACAATGGAAAAAGGAAAAAAAGGAAAAAAAAAAAAAAAAAAAAACAGTTTTTCAGTTTTTTTTTGCTCACAAATAGGAAAATGAATAAACTACTTTAAAATTCATTATACACATGTAGGTGGTGCTGAAATGCCTTTTTTTTTCTCTGAATAGGCAACAAAATCTGAACTTGTAACGTTGCCTGTTTGCATTCAACAGAAGAAAGAAACTTAACTACACTGTAAAACCCCATAAGTTAAGGTAACTTAAACCATTTAAGTTCAAAAACTAATTCTAATGAGTACTGTGAACTTACTCTATTTAATTTGAAGTTGTTTTATTAACTCATTACCTTCAACAGTGAGTTCAAAACTCTTTTCAAATGAGTAGAATTAACTTTCTGTCAATTCTGAGTTAACTACACTCATTTAATGTGAACTGTACTACAAAAAAAAATTACTAATGTTTTGCTTCTTACACTTTACATACCTAAAAATTGCCTTCAGCACTTATTCATTGTTGCTCTTATAGTTGTGTAAATTGCTTCCTTGTCCTCATTTGTAAGTCGCTTTGGATAAAAGCATCTGCTAAATTACTAAATGTAAATGTAAATGTAAATAAAGTTTGACAATACACACTGGCTTTGTCTGAAAGTATAGGCAGCTGACTTGATACCTCACTCTCAAGGCTGATTTATTCTTCTGCTTCAAGTGCACGCGTATGCAAGCCTACACTGAACAAAATTATTCAAAGATGATTCCTTGGATTTACTCAATTTTTTTTACGTTAAGTGGTTGTAAACAATTTATTTGGGCTGAATTTAAACAAATTAAGTTGAACATTATTAAATTTAATTTGTTTGTTTGAATTCAACACAAATAAATTGTTTGCAACAGCTCTGCATGTAACACTTTATTCAGTGTACGCGTGGACGCATAGCCCTCATCGTGTCCGTCGGCGTCGCTGACATGCACCTCTCAAAAAACATTTAACTACACGTAGCAACGACGCGTACACTGTAAAAAATGCAGGGTTCCACACAATTGATACATGTTATCCCAACACAAATTGATTAGGTTAACTTAACACTTTTAACAATTTCATGTGGATTGAACATACAAAAATTAAGTTGTCCCAATGAAATCTCAAGAATTGTGTTGTTTTAGCTTATTTTAAATAAGTGGTTTGAACAAGCGAAAAAAAAAAATGAGTGTATTGCAAGCTCTGTAATTGGTCGGCTTGGTAGCACTGACAAATGTGGGCAGAACTGAGAGCCGCGCAAGCCCTATGGAGCGATTGTTTACAAGTGTGGAGTACCATGAATGAGCCCCGGATGGAAAGTTTTGTTTTGTGTTTACCTTATGATTAAAGTTGTTGCACGTCTGCCAGTTCCTGCCTCAAAATGAGCAAGTTTGAACCACTTGTACATTAAGGAAGTGTTCAAAAACAACAAAGCACCACTGAAGAAACTCGACACAGAGGAACATCAGCACCTCACTGCCAACTAGTGTTTCAGAAGTGTAAATGCATAGCAACAGAAACAGCGCGCAGAAGTATGAATGCACAGCTACACACATTGCACGCGCCGTGGGTCATGCCAATCACTTGACGCAGAAGTATAAACCAGGCTTCAGGCTGTGACTTTGAAAGCACCCTTGCAATGCACCTTTCAAAGCAGCATTTTTCAGCTTTCCGACACAGCCACTGTTTTAAAGCTGCTCTACAAACAGTCAGTGATGTGTCTTACCTGGTGAATCTCCTGCCAGCCGTTCTCATCCATGCAGCCCACCTGAGCGTGATCGTGCAGCAGGAGCTCGCAGCAGTATGGGTCGCCCCCCACCATAGAGCTGTGATACAGAGGAGTGAGGCCTCGACTGTCCTTGTAATCCGGAGAGGCTCCCAGATCCAGCAGCGTCTGCATACACGGATCAGAATGTTCCATCAGTGAGCACCAAAGTAGGAGACGCTTTCACATGAAAATGAAAGTGTTAATAACATGTAAGAGTGCATGTCAGAGTGTGTTCAAACGTGGTCCAGAGGCCCAGAATCAGAAATCATTAAGTTTAGATTCTTACTTAAAAATTTCTGATCTAGCTTCTATGTCTAGCCATGTATGTCCACACATGCACACCAGAATAACATTACATGTAGCTCATTTAACAAACAAATAAATAAATGAACAAATAAATGAATAAATAATAATACTGCACAATTGTATTAAGCTTGTCTACATACATACATATATATACACACACACAGTTGAGGTCAGAATTATTAGCCCCCCTATTTACTTGTTTCCCCAATCTCTGTTTAACAGAGAGCAGATTTCTTCACCACATCTTTAAACATAATAGTTTTAATAACTCATTTGTAAAAACTGATTGATTGTATCTCTGCCATAATGACGCAAACATCATTTGGGAAATATTTAAAAAAGAAAAATAAATTAAAAGAGGGGGTAATAATTCTGACTTTAACTGTGTGTATATATATTATATATATGTGTGTGTGTGTGTGTGTGTGTGTGTGTGTGTGTATATATACAACTGTAACATATAAATTTGTATATGGTGTTTTGCATTTGCGAAGCGTATTTTATGCATATTATATGAACATAAAACAGAATATACTACTACTACTACTAATAATAATAAAAATATAAATAATTCTAATAATACAATAATAATAACAACACCATATGCAATAAGATTGTTTTGGCTTTTTAAAATCACAATAATAATACTTAACAATAATAATACATTTTGTTTGTTTAAAACTATATATTAATTTTAATAAATAAATAAGATTTCTTTTTTGCCATATTGACATAAAACATTTTTTTAAATAGTACGTTTAATCACTATTCATTATTTTGCAATATCTCATTTCAATTAAAATATATATATATATATATATATATTTATTATTGAAATATAATTCTAAACATAATAGTTTTAGTAACTCATTTTTAATAACTGATTTATTTTATCTTTGCCATGATGACAGTAAATAATATTTTACTACATATTTTCAAGACACTTCTATACAGTTCTATACTTTTCTATAAATATATAGTTGAAGTCAGAATTATTAGCCCCACTTTGGAATTGTTTTTCCTTTTTTAAATATTTCCCAATTGATGTTTCACAGAGCAAGGACATTTTCACAGTATGATAATATTTTTTTCTTTTTTTTTCTATTTGTTGTATTTCAGCTAGAATAAAAGCAGTTTTAAATTTTTTAAAAACAATTTTAACAAAATTGATGATTAAAAAATTGATGAACAAAAAAAAAATTATTAGCCCCTTTAAGCCATATATAATTTTCGATAGTCTTCAGAGCAAACCATCAGTATACAATTACTTGCCTAATTACCCTAACCTGCCAATTTAATCTAATTAGTTAAGCCGTTAAATGTCACACTAAGCTGTATAGAAGTGTCTTGAAAAATATCTATTCAAATATTATGTACTGACATCATGGCACAGATAAAATAAATCAGTTATTAGAAATGATTAATTAAAACTATTATGTTTAGAAGTGAGAAAAAAAATCTTCTCCGTTAAACAGATATTAGGGGGAAAAATTAAACAGGGGGGCTAACAATTCTAACTATTATTATTATTATTATTATTATTATTATTATTATTATTATTTTGTGCACATTAATTGATTTTGTGAATATCTAAAGAAATTTGCACACATGAATTTGGTTTTATGCATCTGAATTTGGCTATACATGTGCACATAGAGTCTTATGTGTGAATTACTTTTGATACCTATCTAACTCCATAATAGTGTGGTCGGGGTTTGCTTCTGGTGGATCTCAACGTGGGTGACACGTTGCCCCACCCTCACTCCACTTAAAACAATCAATCAGAGGAGAGAAAAGAAGTTGGTAAATTGGAAGCGTTTTTTGATTAAACATGACAAGGTCAATTTTTCGATGTGTAATGTGCTGCGATAAATAATTTCTAACAAATACAGCAATATTCCATTCAAACATAAGAATTAATTTCCATTTTGATTTCAAGACAAGTCAGCAAAACAAATGTTGACGAACGGGACAACTGACAGGTAGCAAGTGTGTTTAGAGACTAGCAACAGCAACTCGTAGTCAAATTCCTTCGCCTCGGGCTGTCACTGAGACAATTTCACTGACATCCATCAAATATTAGGGACATTTGCTGCATACTACTCCATCAAATCACAGACAGCAAATATTAAGCATAGTGTCTTTCTCTAAG